ATATATATATATATATATATAAATGATCGTAAAATCTCAAATCGTAAGAAACAAACGCGCAATGTGATTGGTCAATTCCTTACGCCTTCAGATTTTATGATTATTATATACAACTCCTATTGTAGAACTTGCATTACATCACGGCTTGAACTTTCATCTGAATTAGGCTACAAACCTAATCCGTCGTATTTCACTATTAGACAGTTGACTTTGATAGGTTTTAAATATACACCTGATTTGAATTCTGATCAAAATTATTAGAATGTAATTAAATCGAGGGACGCATTCGCGAAATACGCAAAGCAACAATTCAATTCAATCCTCAACGATAAGTGACATACAAATTTCGAATAATATAAAATGGCACTTCGAAAAATCAAAGCTCGTCAGATATTTGATAGCAGAGGCGAACCGACTTTGGAAGTTGATGTGATCACTGATATCGGCTTATTCAGATCATCGGTTCCTTCTACCGTGTTACTTAATCCAAATCAGGCGCGCGAGATTCGAGATGAGAACATGATGGCTTATCACGGTCGCTCAGTATTCAAAGTTGTCGATATCATCAACAACGTGATTGCTCCTCAACTGATAAAATCAAAGCTAGAAGTTTGTCAACAAACGGAGATAGACGAGTTGCTGAACAAGTTAGATGGTACAGAGAATAAGTCGAGACTTGGAGTTAACGCTATCCTCGGAGTCTCCGTGGCCTGTTGCAAAGCCGGTGCTGCTAAAAAAGGTCTACCAGTTTACAGGTAGTAATATATTCTATTCCTCACTAATATCATTCTATTCCTTACCTTATGACTTATGACTAAATTAATTCATTGTACAAAGAAACTTATATGTTTATTTATTTTCGGCCTTTTACATTTTAGATACATTGCTGAATTGGCAGAAAACAATAAATTATGCATACCTGTGCCGAGTTTTAGTATGATCAACGGAGGACGATATGCTGGCAATAATTTATCGTATCAAGAATTTATGATATTACCCATAGGTGAGGGTGTGCATACATGTATATAAAATCGAGTATTCGATTTAATTGTTAAACGTCAAAATATTCGACTAGTTTTTTTATATTTTTATATGTGATATATATTAGGTGCTGAGAATTTTGCCGATGCCGTAAAAATGGCTACCGAAATGTATCGAATACTAGAGAGAAAAATCATTACTGCTAAACAAATACAAGGGCCGCTCCTGATTAACGACAATGGAGCCTTCGCTCCTGATTTGGAAAACGACGAAATCGCTTTGACCTTTTTAGACGCGTCCATCAGAGACGCGGGTTATGAAGGAAAAATTAAAATAGCGCTGGACGTCGCAGCGAGCGCTTTTTATAAAAAAGGTTTCGCTATATTCAAAAGATTTTCTTTTAAACACAATTATTTTATGATCACATTCTAAAGAAAGTTCATATTTACATTCACATAGGAAAATACGACTTAGCGTTTAAAACAAAGGATTCCGATCCCACTAATTACTTGGAAGCAGAGGCTTTAAGAGATCAGTATCTAAGATATCTCTCAAAATTTCCAGCGATACTCTCAATCAAAGATCCTTTCGAACAAGAAGACTGGAACAGTTGGTTAATGATTGCTCATCAAGGAATTCAAGTAGTCAGCGATGATCTCACAGCAATGAATATCGAGAGAATCGAAGAAGCAATGAATAGAAATATAGCAAACTGTCTCGTCTTGAGAATATCACAGATCGGCACTGTGACAGAGGTTATTAATTGCGCAAAAATGGCGATAATCAACAATTGGAGTTATATCATGAGTGCAAGCCAGGGTGAGACAGAAGATAATTTTATCGCAGATTTAGCGGTTGGACTTTCCGCTGGCCAATTCAAAGCTGGAGCACCTTGCAGGTATTAGGATGCGAGCAATTATAACATTGAGAGTGAGTGAGAGTAAGAGTAAGAGGGAGGGAGGAGAAAGAGAGAGAGAGACAGATTCTCCGAGTTTAAAATTGATTTTAAATCGAATGCTAAAACATTCCTCCAGCGAGAATTATGATACTTAAAAGAAAGAGAATTATGATACTCATATTCATTTAACGCTATGATAATTGCAGGGGTGAAAGAATGAGCAAATATAATCAAATATTAAGAATTGAAGAGGAACTTGGTAAAGATGCCAAATACGTCGGAACAAAATATCAAAATCCTCTAATGAAATAATCTTGTGGATAGTTACGTGCCACTAACTGAAATGTATATGAAACAATGAAGGGGAAAGCAGAAAGATCAAATAATACTTACCATCCCCCGTACAATAAAATCCATTGAATCGATCAAAGTATGTATTTTGAAAACGTTGGTGATTTCCATAGAGGGTCCGCATCATACCCGGCCATGGTCGACGGAAAACGAGGTATCCTTCTCCTTCGCCTTCAATCACACAACCATCCTCATCAAGAAGCTCCGGCAAAATTCCGAAGAAAGGAAACGTCTAGACATATATCGTTTCATATATTAGAAATAAATTATTTATAATAAATATTTATTATAATAATAAATATAATAAATATTTATTATTAATAAATTATTTATTATAAGGAATTATTAACGAAAAAATTCTTTACCGCAGAGCCTGGCTTCATAGGTGTAGCACCTGGTAACGGTGTAATCACATGACCACCAGTTTCCGTTTGCCAAAACGTGTCTGCTATACTGCACTTACCGTGGCCAATGAGATTATAAAACCAAAGCCAAGCCTCGGTATTGATCGGTTCACCGACTGAACCAAGGACCTGAAACGCGTATAAGCATGTGTAGGCTCTCTGTATATGTTAAGCATTTGTTTCCTTTTCTTTTTTTACTAATGAGTAAGTACTGATGAATGAGATGTACCTTAAGCGTGGATAAACTGTGCTTCTTCACAAGCTCATCACCAAATTTCATTAATGATCTAATGGCTGTTGGTGCCGTATAAAATTGTGTGACCTTATATTTATCGATAATGGACCAATATCGATCATTTTCTGGATAGAAGGGTGTACCTTCAAACTAAACAATGTAAACCATGAAATGCAGACCGAGGGAATAAAAAAATCAAGAATGATCTACGTAAGAAAAATGTGAAAAATGCACGTACTATAACGGATGTTGCGCCATTTGCTAACGGACCGTAAACCACGTAAGTATGTCCTGTGATCCAGCCACAATCGGCGGTACACCAATAAACATCACCTGGATGATAGTCGAAAACATATTTGAAAGTTGTTGCTGCATAGATCAGATATCCCGCGATAGTATGGAGAACGCCTTTTGGTTTTCCAGTAGAACCGCTACGTGATTATGGAAAACAAGAGTCCTTTCAGCGAGAACAAATTAGGAGAGCTACGAGTGTTGGAGAAAAACTCTGTCCATTACCGACTCTATGTTTTTATTTGGCCTCGGTATAGATATGACAGAATGAATATAAGAAGGAAAGGACGCGGTATGTGTACCTCGTATAAAGGATAAAAAGTGGATCCTCGGCGGCCATCCAAACTGGATAGCAGCTCGCTTCCGCATCCTCCATCTCATCATGCCACCAAACGTCTCGATCATCGTCCCAAGAAACATTTGCGATATCCATGGCTGTACCGTTGCTAGTACCATTCATTCCCTTCATCTTACCCTGTGGATTGTTGAGTCTTCTTAGATGCGCAACGACAATGCAGTTTTCAAGTTGATGGCCATGCTTCTTGGCCTTTGCCGCAGCTTCGTCGCAGATATTTTTCAATAAAAGTAATTTCTCGCCTCTCCAAACGCCATCTGTAGTAATAAGAATCTTGGCCTTAGAATCGAGAATACGTTCCGCCAACGAATCAGATGAATATCCTGCAAACTGTGAGATTGTATACATTATTCTTTTTTCCTCTTTTATTCATTGCGACGTTTATGTTTATACCATCTCATCGATATTTGTACTTACCACCACGCTGTGAATCGCCCCTATCCTCGTGCAAGCCAACATGGCGATCGGTAGCTCCAAGATCATCGGCATGTAAATCACCACTTTGTCCCCCACAGAGACATCCTTCGATTTTAGAACATTCGCAAACCTACATGTCTCTTCGAGCAACTTTCTATATGTCAGTCGCGAATAATCTTCCGGATCATTTCCTTCCCTGACAACACAATGGATAGCAAAATATCGATGAAAATTCATTCAATTCGAGAGAATGTGAAAAGTATCAATATTTTAATTCTCGCGAGTAACGAATCGCATAGCATAATTTAAAGAAAACGGCAAGGATATGCACATCTCGCACTTGCGTGCAATACAGTCAACTAAAGTCAATCATTTCATTTTTTAAATTTTAATTTATCTTACATATATGTATCTATGTAAAAGATCTTGAGCGACTATAAGAAGCTTGGAAACGTCCTCGAGTCGCGTTTCAACAGAGAGAGAGAGAGAGAGAGAGAGAGAGAGAGAGAGAGAGAGATTGCGCACATATTTTAAAGATTCTTTTACGTCTATATAAACATAATGTTACATGCTAATGTACCAAGAATTATCATAGAACGGAATATACATTACATAAAGTCAAAATCTGAATCTAGTTATGGCATTGCGAATCGTGTGAATAATTAGGAAAGAATTAGGTAAATCGATCGATAAAATGAGATACTTTACGATAATATATCGATCACTACTGATTGTGAACAAAACACCTAGCTATATTATTCCTTAATAAGATGATTGTGCGTGATTTTTTTCATAACTGTATGCGTATTTTGCATAACTGTATAGCGGTAACCGTATCGATATTGGTAGACAAAAAGCGTAATACATTCAACAATGATAACAATGAAGACGAATCGAAATGTATTATTTAATTCGTTTACATATTTATTATTTAACAACATTGCAGTATCAATCACGCGTCTTCTAATTTCTCATTTTTCTCATTCAACTAGATTTGCAATTAATCTCGTGATATTATCCTTGAGCGACGTATTATTATCCTTTAGTGAAGTGAAGCACATCTGACCTTCATCTCTCAATTTCAATCTCCTCTCTAAACTCAGGGTTGAATG